GAAATTCAATTCCTATTTATTGACCACTTTAATTGCCCGCACAAAATGGTTTAGGCCAACGCCTTGACACGAATCGGCGACAGGCTCGAACGGGGGCCTTCCATAAATCTGGACAATAATTGCTTATGAAATCGTTCAGTGTAGAGCTCCAAGCTCAGCTCGGGTATTAGAAGGGGCTTACTTATCGTTCGAATTTATGATATTCCGTTCAATTTACGAGCTGGATTAAGTCAAAACGCCAACGTTCGCCGATTGCCCTGGGTCACAATACCATTTAACCGGCGAAATCTGCTCCGGTTCAGAATGCGCGGCCCGTTACAATATTAATTACCCGCCATTAGCAGCATCACTCAACTTGGGGCACATGCGGCAGAAGGGAGAAAAGTCGAAACTATCTGTAAAGCCATACGTCAATGCCGCTAAATCCACTTGTCAGGAGGAACAAACGTGAGAATCGTTCGAAAGAAAAACACGGGAAAACTTCAACTTAAACTTAAACTGAAACTGAAACAAAAACCGAACAAAAGCAAACGGCAAATAGATCGGGCAGCGAGGAAATATTGTCAGGCAACACTTTTAACCCCGTAGGTGTATCTCTTAGATGTATCTGCATCTGCATATGTATCCGTATCTGTATCTGCAGCTTGCACTCGCCGGAGATTTGTGGCCAAGACACCTGCAACATTTGAGGGCCGTTTGTAAAAGACTTTTTTATGCTAAATACCGCCGCAGTTTATATTGATGACGACCCGAGACACAATGTGATGTACCCCCGATGCAACCATCTATCTATCTTTCTATCTATATACATATATATAAACGTGTGCTAAGTATATCTCACTCTACTGGTGAAACAACAAAATGTGTGACAAAACACCACAAGGAATTTTAATCCCAAAATGATTGATAATCATTTGCACGAGCGGAGTTGAAAAGAGAAAAAGCTCCATCACGTTCCATTTGCCTAGGTGTAAAGTCCATGGGGTATTATCAGCACCACCGCCCGACATCGTCTTCATCAGCATCTCCGGCACAACAATCATCATCATCATCATCATCATCGCCTCCATCGTCATCATCTCGACTGGGCTTTGTTTGCTGCTAATGTTTGCACTTAATTCACCAGACAATGCGATCCGGGAGTGGCGGAGGGAAAAGCATTTTCTTTTGGCTTTTACTCCGGAAAAAACGGGTGAGGAATGGATGACGGAGGGGGGGGATGGGGGAGGGATTGTGCCTGCCAGGGCGAAAAGTCTAAATTATGTCGTTGCCGCCTGACTGTTGCATAGGAAAATGCATCATTTTGTAAGCTTAAGAAAAGACGCTGCGCTTTTTGTGAATGGGCAACGGAAGCACTGGAAAAAAATAATGGCTAAGGGGGAGTTATCGGTTTCAGCTGTTTTTCTATTTTTGAAAATACTATTTTCTATATAAAAATGTATTAAACATTTTCATTCAAAAGTGTGTTTTTAAGTAAAGAAAAGTCTTGCAAACTTGCTTTATAGTGATTTTTTACTTTACTTGGAATTCACATAATTTCCGATCTCCCAATATTCAATGCATTGCAAAAATGTTAAATATATTTTTATTTATTACAAAATGTTCTGTTATTTTTACTGCTTTTTAATTGTCACCATTTCGGCTAATTAAACTTTTTATCAACTTTTCACAGCTTTGAAGTCAAATTGAGTTAGCAAAACATTTACCACTTCATGTTGAGATGTGCAAACTAAACTGATAACTTAACCAGTGTCATGTTAACCAGACCGTTTGTTTATAATTCACCATATAGCAGCTGCTTCATTTCCATACCATGTCTTGTGTTTGTGGCTCACACCTTTTCTGAAGACCGGATAATTTCCAACACCTCAAACTATTTAACCTGTGACAAATTTTCCTCTGTTCATTTCGACTTGACGATGAGTTGAAAATGTGACAAAAGCTGATTTAAGTCATAATTTATCATGATATGCTGGATTAGGGCGATGAAATTTACAAACGTACGTTTATTTTTAACACGTTGCGACATTGACAATGCCAGCAGGTTGAAACGAAGTGTCTGGCTAATGTTCAAATTTATTGACTATCAAATGGTGGATGCATTGTGTGCGCCGTGCCTACTGCATTAGTTTGTGCCACTTTCGAAGACATAACCAGCTGAAAGGAGGGATTATGGCACTGCCGTGGGGATACTCTATTGGAAATTAAATGTTATGGCTTCCCCAAATATATCTACATTATGCTTGAATACCATTTGCCGCTTGGCGGAACTCTCTTTCCAGCTTAAAGCCAAAAATACAAAAAACAGGACGTTTTGGCCCACAGCACGCCTTTCTGACAAATCAACCACGCCCAAAAACCAAAAAAAAGTTGATTCTCTGGCTTAAGTGTTTGTAATTGTTATTGCTGAAAACTCGTTCTTTCACTTTGGCCTGCAAGCGCGAACTTTATGGCTACACCTACCCAGTCATACAGCTATCCAGCCATCCTGCATTTCAGCCGGAAAGCAACGGCAGATGATCATCTTGGCTGTATCGCGTTCTAGCGGTAAATAAAGTTTTGGCCAACCAGCCGCGCCCACAAAGGCGAGACCACCTAATGAAAAGTGGCCAAGTGCCCCTTTGGTCCGAAATTTTTGGGTGCAGTACAAGTTCAATATTAAGAAATTACAAGCTTGCCCCACGCATTATGCGAAAATTAATTTGCGCGTTCGGCAAATTTAATTCAATATTTTTAACAGCTCTGGGATAACACACGCCCCGAAACGAAAGTTGACCCACTGGATGAGGATTCCTCGGTACGAATTAAGACATAATATAGCTGTCCCTCGATGGAGGCCTCTTCTTTTTTTTTGGCTAACCCATCCGTCAAGATTGCTCCTCTGGCTGTGCGAGCCGTGTAATTCACTCCGAACACCTTTGCTCTGAGACTGACGAGAGCCGAGACTTCTTGACAAGACGTTTCTGGCTTAAACGCTGTATTTTGGGGGGTAATTTTTGGGCCCCAAAGAGGTCGACACACTCGCGGCCCTGCAAAATATCTGGTCCGAGCGAGAATGGATGGCGGATGTGGTGGCTGCTTGACAAACGAGTGTCATTTATCAAAATGTGACACTATTTGCGCCAAGTCATGTGTTAACTGCACTTTATTTTATTGTTATACCCTGTGTGTGGGTTGTTGGCCCCGGCTTAAAGGAGCGCAAAGGGCTCTTGCTCAGTTTCAGACTGCCTCCTGCCAGCGGTTCCTCCTCGAAAGTACTCTCATAAAATATATATCATAATTGGGGGTTATGTTTTAGCTGTTGTTTTCGTTTCGCTCTTTTTTCGGGAATAAGCCAACAAGTATAGCAATCGAGTTGGGCCACCAGGATGAGAAATGGCCAGATTGAGATATGAGGGAGAAAAATGCTGACTGCCCACCCGTGGGCCATGTTCTTCTTCTCTGATTCCAAAAACTGATTTTTGATAAGAGTTTTTCTTATACCTTATATATTTTTGATCTCTGAACTTTTGAGAAAATATATCAATGGTTGAAAAAATGGAAATTAATAAAATGATCTTCCAAATTCTTCAAAGAGAAAACTTTGCCAAGAAACGGTTACAGGCATAAACATTAATTGAGGAATTTTCGGGATTTTATCCACGGCATAAAAGAAGTAATTTTTTCCTTTCCAATTTGTGTTTTTTGGGCGCGACCGGCATTTAATGCCAATACTATAAATATTATGATTATGTGCTCCGTACATGAGCGCAGTTATACATTTTGCGCGTCGACCGCTCTTAAATGTTGTTTTTACCCAAAAAAAAAAATAAAAACGCAGCGAAGAAAGGCAAAAAAAAAACCAAAAACCAAAGACCGAAAAGTAATTTCTTGCACGACATTAATTTCTTTTAAATTACGCATAATTGAAGTACGGGCACTCGAAGTTGATCGATGGCCGAATCGAGTCCCGGAGTACTCCAAACGGGTTTTCCCGCCAAATGTGTCTGTTGAGGTGCGTTGCACAGCCCCGCCCCCTCCACCGCCGCCTCCTCGTTGATCGGAGAGAAATTACAAAAATATTGCCCGGCCATAATAATTTAATTTCTGTTCGTTTATTTTTCCATATGAGGCCAAGTTCTTGGGACAAGCGGGGCGACATTGACATTCGAATTGGACACCTGACAGCAGAATATCAAAGTCACTCTGGGATTTTGCCGTAATTCGACGACCTCTTCTCTATTCCCCATTGAAGCCTTGGCTCTATTTGAAATTTGATTTAATTTTGATTCACTCTTTTTTTATCCAGGGGTCTTTGTGTTCGTGGGCTGACCTGTCAGTCAGTATGAAATTTCATATTGTTGTCGCCGGAGTCTCAGCGGTATTTAGTTTTTTATTTGGGCCTGCTTTGGAGGCTTTGTTAGCCCGATAAGCGGATTTTTTATTACATCAGTTTAGTGTCACATTAGCCGAAGTGCGCCCATGCATTTGCTGGAATCTGGAATCTTTGCGGGGGCGACAGATTTGTATATCGGAGCCAGTCTCTTTTATACACATATATATATATTTTATGGCCACAACTCACAGTGCTCAACAAGTTCTTCCGCCATCACAATCTCAATCCCAATCCCAATCTGCATCGGGATCTGAGCCCCGCCTGCAGCTCTTTGCCACACGTACGAAAACGCATTCACATCCAGGCAAAAACCAAGTCCAATCACATAAAATCTTTCAGCGAAACACACAAGGGAACTTATGAATTTCTTAATTTCTGCAAAACTCACTCGCACCGAGGAGTTGCCCTGGTCTTTTTTATGGCATTTCGTTTTGCCGCGATGCTATCAGTTGGTTTTTGTTTCAGGTTTTGGTCTTTAAATTGTCTCGAATCCAGTGGTCGGTGGGTCGATTCACCGCATGAATCATAAGCCAGTTAAAACCGAATTCCTAAATGCTCGTTTTCGTTACTTACTCTGCAGGGTCAACGTATTTGACACTTGTAACCTAGATTTGTTCCTCGAAAACAATAATTATCAGCACGTGAAATCGGTTGTAAATTGTAAATTAAATGGAATCCAAGAGACTTTATTTGCTTTTCGCAAAATTGTTTAACTAAATGGCTTTGCCTGAGATATCAAAATTTTAGAAGACGTTAAAATGGTTGAGTTAGATGGCTGTTGTTATTTTTTTGGACTCCGCTGTGGATGTATTCTAGGGGGTCTATGGCTAATCATATATAATGCACTTTTGATATACCTGATGTATTACGAGATGAAGTACTCTCAGAGATCCACAATAGACTTAATTACTGGCGAACACGAAAAAGAGACTACTGGATTTTGGGTGCTGGGCACTACATTTCTCTTGATGGATTTAATATCTCTGTTTTTGGTCTTTGGAGCCATTTTGGTAAATATACGTTGACTATCTAAACATTTTAAATATTTATAAATATATTATCTTTGCAGAGGCACCACATTTCTCTTTTCATATTTTTACTAGGACAGATTATACCCATCTCAGTTGAATCGTTCTACTTGCTGACAGCCATTATTTATGGCATTGAAACCGAAAGTATTATAATATATCTTTTACCATTATGTGAGTAAATTTAAATTCGAAATGTATTTTATCTAATCATATATTTATTGATAGTAATTCTGGTCTACATTGATGTGGTAGCTTATTCCTATTGGACTGATTTGAAAAGTTCTAAGAAACTAACAGCTGTGTCACAAATAAATATCTTTTATTGAAATTAGATTGCAACTTAAACACAGCAAAGTACATTTTTAAAATTAGTTAGGAACCATTTTAAAATGCCTTATACATTTTGTTAGGACTTAAGATCACATACCACGTTTTCCGGTAGAACACACAAAAGACAGCGATAAGGTTGGATGACTTGAGAGCAGGAAAACATGTCAAGAAATAAAAACAAAAATGATTTATCATAATGGGAGTTGGAGTCTGAGTCGGGGCCCAATTCGGAATTGGAATTGGAGTTGGAGTTGAAGTCGGAGTCTGAGCTCCCAGCGGCGTTGCCTAAACGGGCGATAACGGCCAAGACGAAGACGGCATGTGGCTGCTGATGGCGACGAACGAGGAGATATCGGGCCCAGAACGGTGCGTCTGGATGTCAACTCTTCATATAAAAATTAACGAAATATAAATTAAAAAATATGCCCTACCTCTCCGGCTGGGCGATGAAATAAAAACCAGAAATATTCGTTTCGGCTGCGCTCGTTCTGAGTACGCTTTTGGTTTTGTTCCCTTTCCCGGCTGGCGATTTACGAGTATGTCCCTTCTGGTTTCGAGTTACGCCTGCGCGACATTGTTGCAGACACAGAGAGAAAAACCAGGGATGATTCCATGCTAATATTAATTTATATAAAAGTATATTAAAGCATAAATACCAAGCAACTCCATTTAACATTACTGATGATTTATTATATTGACTTTGTTACAAAGTGAACTTAATTAAAATCTTGCAATATATTTTATATTTAATATTTTATTTTATTAATGAAGTAGATTTCTATTAAATACAAAAATTTTAAGATCTTTAAAGTCCCATTAGCTCCATTTAGTTCGATTTAGATTAGAATACTTAAATATCAAATTATTATTTTATTCTAACACAAGTCAAGTTTTTTCAATAAGTTATAATAAATGTAAGTAACTATTATTTGTTAAAAAAAAACAAATATATAAAAAATTAACCCATAACATAGAACTAACTGTTAGTTCTTGACTATAATGTAGCACTTTACTAATAAAAATACAAATAAACTAATTATCGGTTCGAGTTTTTGTCTGTGTAGTCCCCAAAAACGGACTTGGGGAATTATGAATTGGCCGCTGTCTGTCGCCTTATCGGTGGAATGCATCACTGCGTTTAAGGCTTTATCTATGGGCCAGTGGATTTTTATCTAATGGAGGCAGCTTCTACCCATTGATTGGGGTCCCGTTGGGGCTCCGATTTCATTTCTGACTTATGACAGGGTCGTATCGGCGCAGCCTTCTGCTCTCTGATAGCTTCATAAGCCGCGATAAGACCGAATCCGAACTCGAATCCCAATCGAAAGGCGCTAATTGCTAGCAAAACTCCAGGCGCCAGCGAAATCAAGGGTCTCGATTGGCGGGGAGTGGCTCTGACAGATCTCAGGTGCCGTATCACCTGCGTGTTATCGCCAGACAAATGCATTTTGCAAATTATTAACATATGTGGCGGCTGTTACACGATCGGGCCAAAAAACACCAACCGGCAGCATGTGCAGATACAGATACATTTGTATCTGACGCCAGTGGGTTGGTAGCCAACTCGGGATTTCGCCGTGGCTGTGGCTAATTGATGTCTGTGCACCAAACTTGATTTATTTCTATTAATAAAGGCCCCATGAAAATGGTAGTTGGTTTGGTCGTTTGGTCGGTCAGACGGCGATACATTTTCGGCTGCCTTATTTGGATGTCCGTGGTGCCCAATGGAAAATGGGAAAGCCCCATTGCCAATGAAAACATGAAATCCCATCATCTATGTATCTTCGTTCTACAGAGCATTGATAGAGGATTGCCAATTTCCAATCGGGGCCAATAAATTGCTTGTTTAGCCACAATTACACACGTGAACAGCCGCCGAAAATGGCCAGAAAATGCAAAAACATCAGAAATAATCTGGCCAAACTTGTTACCGCTGTTGTCGATAGAAATCGAATAAAAACTCGGTTGCATAAATTTTAACACCGATTTTAATCGACGCATTGTATAGTGGAGCGGGCAGCGAGCTTAGACAACTCATTGAGTCAAGCCAACGCCGATATTCCGGCCAACTCCGACACTTTATGGCCAGTTGTTTGGTGGTAATTACCAGCCGGCAGCAGTTCCGGTGCTTCGGTGTGTGTGTGTTCGCAGCTCGGCAATGCAAACTATAATTATGTTATAAATTATTGATATGTCAAATCAAATTCTCAGCCAGTTTTATGTTGGCCGGAGTTGAGCCCAAGATTTATGAACTGCAATTTGAGTTAGTGGGAGAGATTGGGAAATTGGGTAGGCGTCAATGAGAGTTTCTGTAGTTTCAAAAAATGGATTTTAAGTACCTAACATAAATTCGGTTTTTATGAATATTTTTATTAAAATACGAATTAGTGGTGTGCGTTCTTTCAGTAGGTATTTTCAATTCACACTTAAATAAGTAAAAGCTAGATTACGTGAACTATAAAATTAAAATGCATTTCATTTTTATGTTTTTGATAAACTTACATAGAATAACTCCCCAAAATGGTATAAGCATTTTTGTATCAATTTGTATTTTGATTAAAAGGAGCACAGTGAACACCTTATTTTAGTTTGAATTAAAAGAAATCAATTAAAAATTTCATTGCCATTATATCATTTTGAATGCATAAAATTTTAAGACATTGACATATTTTCAATATGAAATGTTGTTACCAAAACTGTTTTAATATACCTTAATATTTATTACAGAACAAAAAAGTATCCAAACTTTTGTAAATGGATAAAGTTAAACCTTTTGAACAAGCTTGTAGGTCTTCTTCTACTCCAATTATTATTTGATTCTTTATAAATTTTCGTAAGTTTCCCCAACTTTTCCAGTGAACCTCGTGTGCAGACGTAAATATTTTTATATGAGGAAAGACTCGGTCCAGCGAGACAGATTACGAGCACGGTGTCTGCGGCCGGCGGACATGTACAACACTTTGCTCTACAAGGCGTTGCGGAAAATACGCAGCGCTTTTCCCTGTTTTCTCGTCAAGCAATTTTCCGTTGAGTTACCTCATGTCTTGCCTGGGCTTTGGCTATGGCTTTGCCTCGGCTGCTTTTATTTCCCTCTTGACATAACTGGAGCGATTTGGCCCAAAAGCACGGCTCGGCGTATGCAAAGCGGCCACCTCAACCTGATTTGGCAGCCCGTCGACCCCACTTGGGCGCTCTGTCTAACAAAATGCCCGGCCGCTTGTCTCGGCCATTTGCATTTCGATCTCTGGCGGCGGTGGCGGCTAACTGGCCGGCCTGTTTTGGCCAACAAATCCTATCGTAATAAAAGTTTTTCGGCACAAAATTACAAGATCCGCGAGGCGGGGGAGGACATGTGGATGTGGACTTGGACATGGGCTGTGTGTGTACCAGAAGGCAGTGCCAATCCAGGTCCGCATTCATTCGCAGCATTTGAACCACATTAGACTTTCACTTTTTTTCGGCCGCACACAAATGGCCATTTGGGCACTTTAGCCGGCCGACTGCGCTTTAAATTTATGTTGATTGGCCGAGCTGGCTTTTTGGTTAAATGTTGTTAAATTGTTTTCCGTCCAAATGACATATTTGACAAATGGCGTGGTTTTCCTAAATGCATTAGGCACACCGGAATACTTGTTGAGTTGTCATTTGAATTCTTATTGAGATTGTTTAACCCGGTTAGAGATGTTGGAGTTCCTGGAACTCTATGCTGTTAATAAATCCAGGGATTAAGTTTTGGTTTTTTTATGCATCCCCACGGTCATAAAACATCGAGTCCTTTGACAATGCCGAAACGAAACAGGCCCACAAATAAATACTAATAAACCATGGGAGCAGGACACGAGAGTTTGGTGATTGGCCTGTTACGCCATCCTTCCTTTCGCGTACTACATAAATTTCAATATTTATGGCGAACAGAGCAACACATGGCCAGGATAAACATCGACAAAAAAAAAAAAAAAAGGGCAAACGGCAGCCTGGAATTGCGAGTTGGATTTGTGGGCGTTTGACAAGCGGCCCGTCGCTGCTGGGCGTAACCCAAATAGAGGCGTTGACGCCTGGCGACCCATCCCGAATATACGACTCTAGATTCCGGCTAACTTACGGCCGGGCCCAAAAGGGATACGTTTGGATGGGATTGGATTGGATTGGATTTGCCGGGAAGAACCAGAGCATTGCGCTAAGGGACCGGGAATCGTCGTAAATCGCTGCGACATAAATTCAGTGCACTTTTTGACGTTTTGGCCTGCCTTCTGCGAAGCCGGCTTACCTGGCGCACCTGACACAAATTTTCCCTGCTCCTGGTTTTTTTTTCTTTCCCCGCTAATCTCTGTAAACAAATCACTGACGTCCTGCCCATCATGTCCTTGGGGACGTGTTGGTTTAATTGCTGCCAGACGTCGCAATTTATGAGCATCAATAAAGTGTCAACTTTTGTGCGAGTGTGTGCTGTGTGCTGGCCAAAGCGAAAAACGGTCTGAATAAATGCGCTTCTGGTTGTAAATCATCTCGGCGCGGCTTTCCAGGAAACTAGTCCCTCGCTTTGGGACTTCGGCTCTTCCTACCCCCGCTGATTCTTAACTTGGCCGAAACACGCTAGCCGGGCCAAGAGCTAAGAGCCAACAGCAGCCAGCAGCAGCCAAGAGATGGGCGAGTTTTGGCATTTGCATTTCAATTGAAGCGAGTAATTAATGTATCGCATATCTGTAGAATTTTAATTGCCAAGTCAATGCACTCGCCCAGAGCCAGATCAGATGCATCTGGTCGCAAATACACTGGCCAACAGCGGAACACGAACTTCGGTTTCGGGCCAATGCCACTCGATACACAGAAAAATACTTCTTGTACCTTTGCCTCTTCTCACACGGAAGTAAATATTTTGAATTTTTTGGCAATGTTGGCATAAAATTGCTTGATAGATTAATAGATAATTAATAATGAAGTCTAGTAGACTTTTGTAAATTCTTTATGATTTTATTTTCGATTCTTGACAAGGTAACTCGTTTAAGATTACATATTATAAAATATCATTTATGATTGTTTGTATTTATCACTAAGTTTAAGAAAACTTTCTACTGTTTCAAAATAAATTGAAAAACGCGAATTTGTGCTTCCAAAAAATTCTCCCTCAAGTTACTTTACTCTGTAAGTTACAATAACAATGAGAAATCGATGCTTAGTAAGAAAAGACAAATGTGAA